TATCGTGAAATAATTTAAATTAATGAAGCAATTTGGCGCCAATTCTTTAAAGACTGTCTTGGTCTATCACCTTTTGGTATACAGGTAAAAGTTGCATTTAATGATATATAACGTTTCAAATCCATCTAAAAGAATTTGAATAACTCAGCAGTCAAATCATTACTTCCTGGTGACTTATTATTTTTTCATATTCATTTTAATATTTAAATACAATCGTCTAAAATTTCTCTTTCCCCAAATTGCATTCTCAAGACTATTAGCAGTCGTCTCGTCATGTTTTTAACTTCAAATGGGTCAATAATATCATTTAAATCAGTAGGAATACATTGGAACTGTATTAAAATACATTTCCCCATAAAATAATTAAACTTTGAAACATTACTTTAAACAAATAAATGTCTGGCAGGGGCCTCCCATTAAGGCAGTCTTTACAAACTAATAAATCTGTAACTCAAGGATCACTAAACATAGGCGTCGGAACCGGGGGGGGGGGGGGGGGGGGGGGGTAGGGGGGCTAAGCCCCCACACTTTTTTTCCAAATATATATAGTATGTATAGACATTGAACATATCGTCGTAAGTTTAGACCCCCCACTTTCCACAGATAGTCTTAGTATAGGTTAAAATTGGGAAAAGTGTTGGTGTTTGGAAGAAAATGTTTGGTACTGGAGTTCGAACCTACCCCCCCCCCCCCCCCCCCGAAATAGGATTTTCGTGTTTGTGAATTTGTGAAATAGACATTTCCTTTTTTTTTTTTTTTTTTTTTTTTGCTTGTCAGGTGTTTTGGAGGTACAAAAAAAATTTTCTGACACTTAGCCCCCCCACTTTCAATTTGCTTCCGACGCCAATGCTAAAGTAATAAAGGAATGAAGGAGAATAGATTACAGCTAAATGATAAAATTAAGTTGATGCGTTCAGTTATTTATCATGTATTTATTTAACTTCTGTTTTAAAACTGAAATACCAAAAAGGCCATGGAATAAGATTCAACATGCATTTTTAGCTAGTTACAAAGAAGCATGAAACACAGTGCCTACAGTGTACAGAGATTTAGGATTGCAAAGTACGCACTTATCATTCAATTTATTTTTGAATTTCATATTTTCACATGATCTATTATTGATAGATTATTCATAGATGTTATTTGTGGTTATATCAGTCGAGATTACTAAGGTATAATAAAATATTCATTGTTGGTTTTAAAAAGATACGGGTTACAAAATTCTTTTTAAAATAATTCATTGTTTGTAAAACGGTGTCACTGATATTCTTGTCATTACCGAAACGGTGAGATAAAACTGCAAAATATAAGAGACAAGAAAGATAATCCAAAAGAAGTAGCCACGTGATTAAAAGTTTCAGAAACCTTCATCTTTGATACAAGCCATAACGCTCTCCTATGATTAAGTAAGCAGATATTGCATTGTAAATGGTCTTACTTTCAAGCATATGTTTATTCAGTGTCATTAACGAATGCTTGCTACAATAAAAAGTACGATCACTTAGGAAAAATGCAATTGTTCAGAAAGAAATATAGATTGGTTTTGAATTGTGTTGTACATTATTTAACCCCTTGTGCCCTCTATATTCTGTTTCACATTTCAGAATGTCATTACCGAAATGTGTCATTACCGAAACAAATCCCTTGAATCAAATCGTTTAGGTAATGAAATCAGTGTTACGGTAATGACAAATCATCTTTAGGTTGTCTTGTGCATGGATTATACAACACTATTTTACTAGTGTTTTATGCATAAGAGGTTGTTACAAATAACTCCTATATGTGGGTCCAGTCCTGGGAGGTAGGCGAGACTAACCTCTATCTAATACACAGTGTTTTGAGCAATTGTTTTCAAATGCTGATGAATTGCCTGTTTAAAAATTAATTTTGCTCAAGCCATGACTGTTTCTAAATAAATTTGGAAAATATAAGGCATGATAACGGGGGGAGGGGGTTGTATAACTATTTACCGGAACGCACTGTCACCACCGCAACGCATTGTCATTACCATAAGGAAGAGAAAATAGGTCAATTAATATACATGTAATAAAGTGTTTAATCAAAATGCATGAGTCCGTGAAATCTCGAGCCGTAGAAAAATGGAAGTAAAATAATCATTTACACTCCTCAAGTGGTTTATTGACCAATGGGTTTTTTTTTTTTTGCTTTTTAAAAACGTAAATTTAACACCAAAGTACGAAAAATAATGTGCGAATCTTTCACTCAAATAATCATGAAGGAAAGATATTACTAAGATTTATTACTTCAAACTTTGAAAAAATTGGTTTAATACTGCAACAATATTTTATGACGATTTAGTCGTCTGTTGCGGTAATGAAATTTTTTTTTTTCATGTATGTATGTGTCTAAAAATAAGCAATAAAATATTTTAAACATTGCTGCTGCATGTTGAAATGGTTTTCTCTAAGTTAGAATTAGTAAATAACGGAGAAAAATTGAATAAAATAGGGTATAAAATAGGGTATATGAATTCTGACTTTTGGAAAGTTCGTTTGGGCCTCTATCCGTAGAATGACTCTACTATAAGGTACAGTTTGCTCTATGATAAGTATTTTATTATGAGTTCTATTATAACGTTTTTCCTTTGAGATATACATGGTTCATATTGACTTTCCAACATTTCCATTGGATGCTTAAAAAATCAATAGAAGGTGCCAGGAAATCTGATTGATTTATAATCATTTATGTCATATTTACCAGTACTTCCCAAATAAAGCAATTTAGACTATAAGCATACATGTATATTCATGAGAAATAAATGTTTATGTCCTCCTAAACAACCCGTGGTTGTCGAAGTTTAATGTGGATAAGTTTTCGGAGTGGGAATACGTGTAAAAATGTATAGGATAGTGATTTTATTAAGTATTATAAGCAAGATGGATAGATGAGGGTGAAAAGAATACAGCATACTTTTTAAGGCTCGAAAATAAACATCAATCACATAACGTTATAAACAGAATCAGAGTCAATGAAAAAATCCTTACCAAGACCGACGATATACTTAATCAACTATGTGTATTTTATGAAAACTTGTATTCATCTCAGAAAATTACAGTTGAAAGAATAAATAATTACCTACGCGATATTAAAATGCAAACTAAGCTTACTGATGACGAGAAAGATTTTTTTGACAAATTTCCTACATTAAAAGAATGTTCCGAGGCAGTATTTGAAATGAAAAACAACAAATCCCCTGGACTCGACGGCTTACCGGTTGAGTTTTACAAAATGTTTTGGAAACATTTAAAACAATACATGTATGATGCGCTTATCAAATCTTACGAAGAACAAGAATTAACAAATACACAAAAATGTTCCGTTTTGTCTTTAATTCACAAGAAAGGTGATCTTGATAAACCTCAAAATTACCGTCAGATAAGTTTAACAAACTGCGATTACAAAATTATAGCCTGCGTCTTTTCTCGGCGTTTAAAAAAAATAATAAATTAATTAATTAACCCGGATCAGTCTGGGTATATAAAAGGACGATATATAGGTAGTAATGCAAGACTTATTTTAGATATCTTTGAATATTGGGAAAGAAATAATGAATGTATACTGTTATTTGCATATCTAATGGTAAAGACCGCCTTAAAGAAACACTATTCACGCATAAACATGCAAACTATAAACTTCGTAAACACAAACGCTAATCAACAATTCTATTTTGACGGAAAATTTGAAGATATTTCTAATAAAAAATCTTGTTTTTTCTACAACATTTTAATAAAAAAGAAATCGCACAAGCCAATCATGGAAAATATCTGTTGTAGAGAATTCCAAATAGATAAGAGTCATTTCGATACTATATATGAAAATAAAGTTCGCTCATTATTTGATAAATCTGTATCAGAATTTAGTTATAAGCTACTACATAATCTGTTGACTACAAATCTATCCGTTAGTAAGTGGGATAAAAACAACAGTGGCAACTGTGATTTCTGTGATACACAAGAAAATATCAAACATTTTATCTTCGAATGTGACTTGAAAAAGCCAATCTGGAGTAAAATTTCTCAACTAATAGATAGATATAACATGGAAAATGATTGTTATAGGCTTTATTATTTTCAACAACAAATACACTCTTATTTTGGATAATACATTGTCATTCTTGGCGTGCAAGATTTACAAATACAAAATGAAATGTAGAATTGTTAAAGACCAGGTTACATATGAAGGAGTGTGTCACTTTTTAAAAAGCGCGCTGATGCAATTGTATTTTACTATTAAAAAGACAAAATGTATAAATTCAGATTTTAAAATTCTTGAACTGTTGTCACAAAACTTATAATAATATGTATATTAATTGCATCAATTTTATATGTACTAGAGGGTGAGCTGGCCCTCTGCATGTACATCCATGTGGCGGGACAAATTGGACTGTGAAGGTGAACTGTAAAAGGAAGTCCTGCCGCATGATATTACTGTCAACTATTCTGTTTGTAAAATTTATGTATATTCTACTATAACCATATATTGGTTTTATTAACATGATGTCACTGCTGCATATTTTTGAAGCAGCTAATTATCGTCTATTGAATTGTATAATCATGATGTCATTGTTACCAACTATATTATAATAGAGCTACTTTTTACTAAAAACATACACTATATTATATAAGTTTATGCTTGATATATTTACTTAACAAAATTACTCTTGACTTACCTATTATACATGTATAAATTTTGTTACCGATCCAGGGAGCCCCTGGCACCCCGGGTGAGGTATAGGATGAGGGCCTTTGCGGAGGTGATGCCTCAAATATGAAACTATGTATGTATTTGAAATAAAATCTTTTACTCTAATAAAAAAAAAAGTATTTTCGAATTTACTGAAGGTAATCCTTTTCATTTTTTTATGATGAATAAAGGTAACTTTTAAAATCATTTATTCGCAAATATAAAAAGAATTTTAGAGACAGATCGAAATGTTTAAACCATTTTGTAGTATAAAATATTATTTTAAATAGGAGTATCCTGGCGTATTGTATTTTCGACCTACTAAGACACTTTTAGGAATTTAAATAAAACTACATAGAAAACGCAAATAATTCACAGAGTTCAAGTCTAAACCAAATGTTGTCAATTGAACAGTATCGGTCAAATTATACCATTTTGTTCTATTTCTTTGAAACACCCCCACATCCAAAGAGTCGATTTCTGATCCTCCAAAATCAAGCGTCTTGTGTTTTCGACCTATATAATATTTAGACGCGAAGTCGGTATCAGAGACGTAAAATCTGGAATAATTTATATATTTTTTTAAAAAGTGCGTATTATGATATGAAATAAATCAAGCAAAAAATATGGCATGGTTTCAAATATTATTTATTCATCATTATTTAATATCATTTCTGTTTTACATTTGTTTTACAGACATGAAGATTTTTTTTTTTACTCTTCATCTTGCAGACATGGAAGTCCGTGACACGGACAATAAAATACACTGTGTCGTCTTAAAACATTTACATCACAACAAAATCGTAAATGTGTCCAGTGATTGCAGTTTTCATACATACATTCACCCCATTTTACAAAAACTAGGGAAACGCAATTCCTTAATGCATCTGGAAATCGTTTATTACAGACGCAACAAGGGATTTCGTCCCCATCCGATTCATCACTCTCGGCGGACAAATCATGATCAGAAATTGTTTTCTGTAAACCTGATGGGCCAGGTTCTTGTGATAAATTCACAAAATTGGTTTTACGTGCCTTCTTATTTTTGCTTACCTTTCTTGAACTGTCAGTGGATTTCGTTTCAGTACTTTTTCTTTTCTTACTACAAACCTCATTGTTTTTTGAAGCTCCTGATTTCTTACAATGCTCAACAATTTCATTCATGATTTCACTCTCAGTAACAGCTTTACCAGAGGTGATGCTTGATAAATATTTTCTATTTTGGGTTGATTGCTTTTTCTCAATTTTCAAATTCTGCTCACATTTATCAAAGAAACGTGTAGTATTATTCTCCATGTCCGTCTGTGCCCTGTCAGAGTTCACGTCAATTTCAGGGCCACAATCTTTGTCCGTACCTTTGTCTTGTCGACCAATCTCATCATCTAATGGTATTGAATCATGGTCATTGTCAGTCGGTGCGTCAGAATTAAACAAGGTTGATGGAAGTAAAGTGACGGCAGACACACAATTTTGATCAAAAGGATAAATTCCTGCTTTAGCAAAAGAATTTTGCAAGTTGTTTGGAGACAGTGCCTTGACATAAGCATCTGATGCAAGCTTTCCGATATTATATCGGTTGATGGGTTCTCTGTGTTCACGAATATATTCATGACACGCATTGTTCAGAATGTTGTTAAGAGGCCCAAAACAACCTACATCTAACGGCTGCAGAATATGACTGCAAAGCGCAGGTAACACTAAAATGATGATATTGTGGGCCTTTGCCCATTCAATAATGAGACTTATGACCATCATACATAAGTAAAACAGGTTGGTTATTTGTTAAGCCTTGCACGTACTTCATAAAATGCTCACTCAAATACTTCTGAAATATGTTAGTGTTGGACCAACCAGAAGCACTCACAGTACCCGCGGTCCCCTCAGAACAGTTTTGAAGAGGATCGGGATTCATGCGAGCGCCCAGGAAAATAAGATATGGGGGAATTTGTGTACCAAGTGCATTGCCCGCACCAATGATTGTTAGAGTTGGGGAATTTTCTGACACTATACCAGGGGGTTTAGATTGTTTTGAACTGACGACATTTGGTGGTTTATGTTGGAAATTAATTCCTTTTTCATCTACATTATATATACAATACGGCTTGTCTTGAAGGTTGTACTTTGAAATGATTTTTTCAAGTTCTTGAAAATATTTATCTATGTTTTCTTGAGATGCCGACTTGGCACGGGTCATGGCTAGCCCCCTGGCTTTTATGGTCTTCAGCTCTGGCCATCTTGACAAAAAGGAGTAAAACCAATTCAGCGTAAATGGCTTGTCTTTCTCTCTGAGGCCAAGATGTATAGCCAGTGATGTTGCTAAATCTACAACTTCAGACCGTGTATATCTGTGGAAAAAGCAACGAACTTCAAAACAAATTTGATTCCTAGATCCGCCCACCTTAGATCGATACAAACGGATCGTAAGTAGACGGACCCTAATTTAAATTTTTTAAAAATATTGATTAATATATTCCACGCGGATTAAAATAATATATATCACACCACACATTTTATTTTGTTAGAATTACCCATAGCCGTAGTTGGCCATTAATTTTATATGTTCAACCAATCGTGCCTCCTGGTCAATATCTAGAGTAGGTGCTGGACCAGATTTTACAGCATCGGCGCTGATGGTACCAGACACCCTGTCTAAAAGAGTTGTTTTTGGAACTCCATATACTTTTGCTGCCTTATACACAGTCATGTTTTTGTTTAGAACCTTGTGAAGAGCATTTTGTAGAGAAGTGGGGGAATATTGCCTATATTCTCCCCTCACTTGATGGACCTCCTGTAAATTTCAAGCATTAAATTTCAGAGCATTTTCTTAAATTTTATAAAATATATCTAAGAAAAGGGTAATTTTGACAGAGTGAAATAAAATGATTGATCCGCTCCAATCTATCTGAAATCCTTGCATCCTGATGACATCTATGTATATTTCAATAGGAATAAAGATTATTTATTTTACATGTAAAATTATAAAATTAGAACTATAATTAATCAATTGAAAAATAAGCATTAGAGAAAAGTGGAATTTTCCGACATCGGACCAACAAAACAAAAGACCTACCTCTGATAACTTTACTTTGAACATTTTACTACACGTGTGTTGTGTTTACATTTGGTGCTAAGTATAGCAGCCGAAAATGACGTCATGGCGCGCGCGCTGTATACAGGAAGTAAGTTTATAAACATAGATCGAAAACACAAGACGGTCGAAAACAAGATACGAGACGATAAATACTTTTTCTCAATTCAAACTTCGGGGAAAAAGCTAAATGAAATCCATAGTACATAATTTGCCTTCCGAAAAAGCATTAATATTGATGTATCAATACTGTAGAAGTACTTTTTTCCCCGTGGTATTAATTTACGCTATGTACACGGTAACAAATTTTCCGCGGAAATTCGTCCAAGCGTATTTAAGGGACTCCGACTCTCAGCCAGGAAGGACAACTCTTTAATTTATAATTTAATTCAAAAAGTCTTTAAATAAATCTTGAAAATTAAAATATTTTCATGCAACAATTTTCATTATCTGCCTCTCAATGTGCTTCAAGGATCTTTGCAAAGCTCCATAAATTACTTCTAATTTCATATCATGTTAATAAACATTGGTATCTAAAAATACTTTTTTCGGGATAAAAATTTCTACTTTTAATTAGACCTTTCTGAGAAGTTCAATGAACCTTGAAGCACATTGATATGTATATAATGAGGGTCGGAGTCCCTTAATATAAATGTAAGGCATATAGTGACTGCTTAAGAAGTCCGCGTAATTTTCTACCCGCGGATTAAACAGAACTTAAGATTCCGCGGAATTATGACCCCGTGGAAAAAAGTACGTCTACAGTATTTAAGTTATGAAAATATTGGAAAACTAGTATTGCCATGAATTCGAAACATGAATAACGCAATTAACATAATTCATGTTCATGTAGTTATAAAATAATCATAAAAGACATCAACTACAGAATAATTTTTGAGATATAGGAAATTATATAAGCAACCATCGTCGCAAACCACGGCCTAAATGTACAATCCTCTCCCATTCTGGCCGTGGTTGAACGAGGAGAGAATTCTTCGTAGCTCATTAAAATATTGACCAATGCGAGTAAAGCATAGTCGGAAGGTGAACTTTCTCGCGACCTTTCAGTATCCAATCGCAGTAAAGGAAATATTTCTTGTATACTGTTGACATCAGTTGTTGATTTCAATTGCGATCGAAACAAAACTTGCCACTGACTGAATATGAGGTCAAAAAAGAGAGGCGTAAATATTTAAGGAATAACTGTCTTATTTTAAGAATTCATGAAGTGATCAATGGATTGGCTTGTGTGATAATTTGCATAAACGCCAAAGGCGTTTATGCTTAAAATTATCACACAAGCCAATCCATTGATCATCTTCATGAATTCGAAAAATCTGACAGTTATTCCTTATATTTACATGCTTTGATTCCGCCAATCCACGGGCTCCAAGCCTGCTTCTCTCTAGGTGTTGTCCCGCCCTGCACGTGGTTTTTTTTTTTGGAACCGCGCCAAATCATTCATGAGGAAATAAATTGCATTTACAATTGGTAATTTTATCTCGGACAAAGACATTGGAAATGTAAATATTCACTATTACGACACTTTTTGTGATCAAGCAGCCACGGGTAGGAGAGCTATATGCGGACTCCGGACCGTGGCTTGAGACGATGATAAACAACATGTATATATAATAACTGCAAGAAAAGTATTCCATATTAAAGTATACTATCACAGTGATCTAAAGCAGGCACTTACTTTAGGTCTATGTCTATCACGGCATTCAGTTGAAGATACATTTACCCCAATGGTTCGTGGCGTTCATAATAAAGGATTTCTTATTTCCAGCAAATTCAACAGGCCTGTCGGAGGATCGTACATGTCCAATGTAGACGCGTACGACGACTGGTCCCACGTTTGAAATAAAAAAAAAAAATTCTGTTTTGCTGATCTTATGCTTAGAGTATAATCTAATGATGATATCATATTTTTGTACAAATTCAGGAAAACAAGAATATATTATTTCGGTGCCCCTCCAGCATGTAATACTGTGTATTTCATTAATATATGAACTAAAGGCAACATCAAGTCCAAGAAACATTTAAAAGCAAAAAATGGTTTCATACGTAGAGATGTAGGGATTTTAATTTTTAATTTCTTTTTTAATCAACTCGGAAAGAGTTTAAAACCTTAAGAGATCTCAGAAAAACATTAATTTAGTATCTGTACACAATACCTTTCTTTTTTATATAAATTTTATAGCAATGAATCTAATACATGTATCTTGTTTTGCATAGTTAGTTTTGGGTTTCAAGTTAGTGTGGAGGGGAGTACAACTACTGCCGCCATAGAGGATAGAAATGCAACAATGATTCTTAACTGTACATGCAAGGAGGAAGCAGGTGAAGTACTTCTCGATGGTCATGCTATCTTATGGAGAACTAGCTAGGTTGAAAATTTAGTGGGTTTTACAAAACCAGGAGGTCCAGACCCTGTTTATTATCCAGATGGAGAGTATCTTCGAGACAAATCTGAGCTCCTAAAGCCAACTGCTAATTCAACAAATGCTTTGATTATTATTAACAAAGTGGCATGTGACGATGAGAAGCCGTCACTGCAATGCTGCATTTTATACAACCAAAATGGCGTAAAAACCGCAGTTTCTAGAGAAATATCGTTGTCACTTCAAAGTAAGACTTTAACATTTGTTTAATATGCACGATAAAAGGGCACTTTTTGTATATAATTTATATATGTATGCCATACATATTAAAATTTAGATTTTTTTACAAAACCTGGTCCAACCACTGTATCAAGTGATAGAGCATTTCAAGCTGCTAATCAATGATTCGATCTTCTGTAGAATCATCCAAACGACCTTCCGATATTCCATTGATATCAGCCTCAGAATTAAAAGAAAACCAGAATGTGGACTTGTGTCTTGTGTTGCTGATGTAGGGTAACCTCCTGGAGTTGTGAAATGGGGACGATTCCGTACCGATAACAAGTTTGTTCCCATCAAAAAATCTGATCCAATACCCGATGAGGCCAGGAATTGTGAATTTATTGCCAGGGTGAACACAACATACAAGGTCACAAGGGATGATAATGGAGCCTTCTTTCGATGCACTTCACATAACAACATAACTAAGAATGAAGATCCTGAAGACACATTACAGTATAGAGATACCATAAAAATAAATGTTCTGTGTAAGTAAAATCTATACGTCAGTGTTCGAATATGGGTACAATAATACTTTACATACTATGGTAAATTTATTTAACATTTCGCAGATCTTTCAAAGGACACAATTAAATTTTAAGTTTTCACAAGGCTAATATTTTGAGATTTCATCCTTGAAAAGACGTTAATGGTAATCTAACAACCAAGCTATATGATAAACGTGATGGCTTTAACTTTTCTATCGTCAACTTCCATTTCTTACAGTGAAATAACAATATACCTTCATCACCTGCATACGGAGTGTATATATCTCAGTTGATTCGATACGCAAGAGCATGCTTTACGTATGAAAAATTCTAAAACGAGTAAATTATTGACAAGCAAGTTGATGATACAAGAATATAACCTGTCTCGTTTAAAGTTATCATTAAGTTCTATGCCAATATGGTCGATAAATAACCTTGTCAGCAAATACAATTTATCACTGAAACAACCGTTTTTCATACTAATTGTTAGTCCATTATGTATACACTGAATTGACGACGGATTTTCCCATTATTTCCCGATCATGACAATTTAAGGAGCACACGGCGGGTGTGACCGGTCGGCAGATGATGCTCACTCCTCTTTGACACTTTATCCCACCTCTGATATTTCGAAGGTCCGTGTTTGCTCTGCTTCTATTTTGTATTGTTTAATGAATTTTCATATTGAATACAAATTGTTATAACCATATCCTTCTTGAAAGGGGCTGAGATGCTAATGCATATTGAAAATAATATGCATAAATGTCTTAACAAAGCTGTAAGTTTTGTAAGCGATTGGAGATGTTTAGGAATGAAGGGAAGAAAACGAACAATTTAATGAATCCCAAAACATGTAGCTTTAGTTTATTATTGACGTTTACTGAAATTGTAGAGGGACCGAGTTTAACAAAACAAAATACATTATAAGCACGTGACATCAAAAAATCAATTTATCATAAAAATGTAATGTTTCTAAACGTTTCTTAGATGAAGCTAAAATCGTCAACATCATTAGAGTCCCTGAGTTGAATGTTTAACCAGTATCAACTCCAAGTCTCACCATGATCTGTATAGCTGATGGAAACCCTAAACCAACTGATGACGACTACACGTGGGCCTTTCAATCTTTCCATCCTAACACAACTGAGGAAAAGCATTCTGACGGGAAATTCCTTATTCTGCAAAATCTTAGGGAAACAGACTCTGGAACATATACATGTTTCGTCTCAAATTCATTAAATTCTAACAATTCTTGGAGCGTTACAATCATAGTAAATGGAACAGATCCAGAACCATGACCTGTTTCAGAATGTGATTCCAGTCCATGTGGGGCTCTGGAGAATTGTGCTCATCTGGGACAAGAGTACAAATGTGAAATTAATGTACTGGGTGTTGTTGCCGGAAACTGCACAATCTCTCCAACGAAGTTACCCGAAATGGAAAAAAAAGAGTATAATACAATTTTATGTTTATACTATTTCATTATAAATGTCTATTTTATAGTTTTGAACGCACGCTGATTTGCTGTGATTTTCATCTTTTTAAAATCGTGGGCATTCTTGGATTTTTGGGGTCATTATAGGACCGGAGTAATATACTCGTTATAAAGTCAAACATTATTATAGATTTTCAATATGAAGATTTACATATTGATATAACTTTAAGCATTAATTTTCAAAATGTTAACAAAAAAGAAACATTTTTGTCACGGATTTACACTTTGTTTGAAGAAGTATAAACTTCTTACAAGAATTATTATAGTATTTATCATTTGCTTTTAAATTTGCAAACAGAAAAATGTAACTAAGTCAGCCTGTATTAACCTTTATAAATCTTACTTTGATAGTTTTCATTCAAGGAGAGTGGATTCGACAATGGAGCAGGATTGCTATGTGTACGTATTCTAATAATATCCCTTTTTAGTCCTACTAATCTTTACTTATGTGTTGTAATTGTTTGGGTTTTTCTTTTTACAGCAATGGTGATGTCATTAA